CTGAGTTCACTCCCAACACGGGAGTGTGCCGCACAGGAATTAGTGCAAGTGGGGAAAGTTACATCTACGAACTTCACATCCCAAAACACGCGCTGCAGTACACGCTGCTTTCATCTGAGTCAGCCACTGCGCTTGATCCAGTGCTCTATGCTTTACATAAGGCCAACACAGTCTTATATCCTGCTGACATGCAATGCATCATAATTGACCTATACAATTAATTAAAAGCAATGAGGAAAGTAAGTGGAATTTAACCTTAATCAGTGCCCAAAGACATCAGGATGTCTGATGTCACCCTGAAACATCAAGACACTCAGAACCAGATTTATTTCAGGTAAGCACCAGAACCTTTTAATGTTTATCAGCTTCTGAACTACCAAAATGTGAACATATAATGAGGAAAGGATATGATAAAAACATTTGCAGCACTTTCTAGTCTTGAGGTGCTCATTTCAGGTCAAATATACCATAAGAAAACCATTTAGCTTGTAAGTTATTTATTCAGTGATCATTATATACCTAAGGAGTTCCAAGAAACTAAGCACATTTTCTTAGGATGAATTTGCTTGAGAAACGAAACAAAGAAAGGAGAATGGGGAAAAAAAAAAAAAGAGACTACCATGTTCAGATAATGTGAATTAACACCAAAAGTCAAAAACTCTACAAATGTTGCAGAAGAACTACAGCAGAAAAATATAGTGAAATTTAGTGGTTTCCACTAACAGGAGGAGCCAAATAGTAGCCCAACAAGACAATTATCAGGCTTCTATAGAAATACAGGGCGTCAAACTCATCTTAACACTGTGACTGCAGTTTAACAGGCTAGTGCACAGAAACAGGGCTGCTGTAATCATCAATGTGTGCTCTTAGAAAGGGGCCAATACAAAGTGAGGCCACAATTTTATCCATCTTTCCTTACCCACTAAGCTATGTGTTATGCACCTGGATCACAGGTCTAAGCTTTACACCATCTGAGCTTTTAAAATACTTGGCCAGCACTTTAAAAGACATCAGTGGTCTATTTCCCATCAAGAGGTCAAAAACAGAGCAAAAAAGCAAAGCCAATAGCAGGTCATGAATGGATATTTAGTAATTTGTCCAGGAAAAAGTGATTAACTGGTCATTTCTGAGACCAAAACTGTGAACACATTATGAGCTTCCAGATGATGCTCAGTTCTTATCCCTCCATAAGATGAACAACCAAATATGAAAGCTAACTGGGCTGCATCAAAAGAAGCGTGGCCAGCAGGTCAAGGGAGGTGATTCTGCCCCTCTGCTCCACTCTTGTGTGACCCCACCTAGACTACTGCTTCTAGCTGTGGAGTCCTCAATACAAGAAGGACATGGACCTGTTGGAATGGGTCCAGAAGAGTGTCACAAAGATGATCAGAGGGCTAGAGCACCTCTTCTGTGAAGACAGGCTGAGAGAGTTGGGGTTGTTCAGCCTGGAGAAGAGAAGGCTCCAGGGAGACCAAATAACAGCCTTCCAGTACGTAGAGGGGGCCTACTGGAGAGATGGGGAGGGACTCTTTATGAGGGTCTGTAGCAATAGGACAAGGGATAATGGTTTTAAACTGAAAGAGGGGAGATTTAGATTAGATACTAGGAAGAAATTCTTTACTGTGAGGCTGGTGAGATGCTGGAGTGGGTTGTCTGGGGAAGTTGTGAATGTCCCATCCGTGTTCAAGGCCAGGCTGGATGGAGCTTTGAGCAACCTGGTCTAGTGGAAGGTGCCCCTACCCATGGCAGGAGGTTGGAACTCTAGGATCTTTAAGGTCCCTTCTAACTCTAACCATTCCATGATTCTATGAAAAGGTGTCAGTCTGGTGGATATTTCAGTGTTATTGGCTCACATGATTTTTCCCAAGAAAATTGTTATATTTTATTTGTGCCTCAAAGTTCCAGCCTCTGGCTAACAAATGGGAAAACCCTTGGGCTGCTGGAAGAGAATATACAGTTAAGTCACTCTCATGTAGCTTGAGAGTCTAGAAAAGTATGCATGAGTCTTCAGGTCTGAGTACTACAAAATGTCTGTGGAGGATAACCTGACTGAAAGGACAGGAGACTGAAAAGGCTTTCTGGGTCAAGGCTGGATATCCTTCTGTGTCCTTTCCACACAGTGGAAATCACATCTGTGAAGTCCATTTGCTTATCCAGTGAACACTGTGACATTAGATGTAGTATCATGATGAAATTTGGCACCATATAGTCCAAATTGGTTTTAAGATAACAATTTATTTTTCAAGACACATTTGTAGAAAGAAGTTGATGAAGAAAAATATCTGTAAAATGTACAGCATTAATGAAAAGTTTAGTTCATTAGAATTCATTTTGAACAGGAGCTTGTTTGTAGAAATTTCTTACTATGTTAAAATAAAACTGTTTACCAGATATTCCAAGAACATACATGTGTCAAGTCAAATCTGGATGCACAAATGAAAGTGGAAAAGGTATGTTGCTACAGAAGCAGTAAGAAATTTTGGCTGCGTCTAATCTGAAAGCAATGCCTGGAAAAATACTGATATAGTATGAATTAATATTCAGTTTTCTTTCATCTCTTTTCTGTTTCAAGTATGTTTTCTTGTAGTGAATTTTCACTTCAGTATTTCTTTCAGTCTCCTCAGGATTTTGGACTTTTGGAGGCATATGAAACTGGAAAATTATTATTATTAGAGTTAATCAAGCATTCCTTATGAGAATGATTTTTCCAAATAAATGTGATTTTACAGTATAAAATATATAAATTAAATTTTATGTCATGGACTAACCTGACTGAAAAAGAGGACTTCTACTTCTTGGATGGCCCTAAAAATTTTGAATTGATCTGACAAAATGCCAGGCTCGAGAAACATGCAAGACAGCGTGATGGGAGAGGCTCTCAAGCTCCTCATGAGAAAGACTATGACCAGGTGCCCATCTCAAACACTTGTACAAAAATGATCACAGAAACAAACAGAAGGAACTGAGAATTCATTTAATGACATCAGTCACCCAGGTATGATGGGACAGGCAGAACATCAGGAGTGCTGCAATGGATGGATATTGGCTCTTTAGGAAGGACAGGCAGGGAAGACAAGGAAAGGGTTTTGCTCTGCACGGCGGGCACCTTGAATGCATGGAGCTTTGCTTCATAACAGGCAACTGGTATGTTGCTCTCTGTGAGTCTGCAAGACACCCCTCATGCTGGCAGGAGTAGCTGGTGCACTGGCAGACAGTCAGGTGTAGATTGACAAGCTGTGGGAATGTGTTGGCAGGCATATTATGAGTTCAGCCAAACACCAAGTTCTTCACCTGCCATGCATTGATGAAAGCTGGTCAATGGCTGGCTAAAAAGTCCCTTTGCATAAAAGGACCCAGAGACTTCTGGGCCCTCATACAAGAGAAGCAAACGGGAGTCCAGCCTCACGAGGAAGATGTTTTTGTTTAGCCTGAAGCAGAGAAAGGTAAGGGGTAACATAATTGTAGTCTTCCTTTACCTGTAAGTGGTTTGTAGAGAACATGCAGCCCTCTCTTCTGAGACACACAACAAAAGGAGACGAGGCAACAATCATGTTACAACAAGAAAAATTTCAGTTGGCCCTAAGGAAAAGGTCTTTCACGATGACACTGGTGAACAGAATGATCAAAAATGAGGTGGAATCTCCAGCCTTGGAGATTTTCAAAAGTCTACTAGACATGAGCCTGAGCAACCTGATCTAAATTTGAAGTCTGCCCTGACTTAAGCAGAAGATTGGACTAGATGAGCTCTTTATGACCTTTTAACCTAAATTATTCTGTGGTACTTTAACTTCTCTTCATGCTGCATTACCTTGCGAGAGTTGAAATTTTAGTTTCCAATATTTTTTATAAGAGTTGTCCTTGAAGAGTACATCTCCATAAGGGAAATACACTGACTGAACACACTCATCCCTCATGGGAGTTATAAATTTTTCAATGCACTGTAGGGTGAAGAGCTCTAGCTATGGATTTTGGTCCCAGGGAAAACTGCAGGTATCAGACTCCTGTAATTGCCCTACAGAAATACATAATGGATCATGCATCATCAACAAGGAAGTATAAATTACCCCTGCAATTGCTTTCAAAGGAATCTTGGAAATTCAGTTCAGTAAAAACTAACTCCATAGTTCTGGTGACAGGAATGTCAAATGTTTATTTTCAATATTGAAATAAAAAGTTTTGACTACTCTTAATGTGAGTTTTTCAGAATGTGCATCTCCTGTAAAATTTATGAAGGTCAAAATTCCTCCTTGCTTCAGGAGAAAAACAAATGGCCAGAAATCAATGGTGAGTCTACAAGTGCATACAGCTGTACTGGTTTTGGCTAGGATAGAGTTAGTTTTCTTTATAGTAGCTGATAGGGTGTTATGTTTTGGATTTGTGACCAAAACAGTGTTAGTAACACAGGGATGCTTTAGTTACTGCTGAGCAGTGCTGATACAGCACCAAGGCCTTCTCTGCTTCTCACACCACCCCACCAAGAGGCTGGGAAGGGACAAAGCCAGGATAGCTGACCCCAAGTGACCAAAGGGGTATGCCATACTGCACGATGTCTTGCTCAGCAATAAAAGCTGGGGGAAGGAGAAGGAAGGGGGGATGTTCAGAGTGATGGTGTTTGTCTTCCCAAGTAACTGTTATGTGTGATGGAGCCCTGCTTTCCTGGGGATGGCACCTGTCAGCGATGGGAAGCGGTGAATGAATTCTTTGTTTTGCTTTGCTTGCACAAAAGCTTTTGTTTTACCTATTAAACTGTCTTTATCTCAACCCATGAGCTTTCTCACTTTTACCCTTCTGATTCTCTCCCCCATCCCACCAGGGGGAGGGCGAGAAGGCACGTGGCACTGTGTTGCCTACCAGGATTAAACCACAACAACGCTACAGGAAAACAACCAAGGATGATTTGGTCACCCAGCAAAGGGAGAGAGGATCCCCATCAGCACCGCCTCATAAAAAAACACAGCATTTGGTCAGGAACATCAAAACATCATCTTTAAGAAAGTTACCTTTTTCTCCCGGAGGCCCAACTCTGCCCGGACGACCCGGAGCACCTTTCTCCCCCTTTTCTCCAGCCTCCCCTGTTAATACAACAGCAAAAAAAAGAACAGTCACATTAAACCAGGACCATTTTCTGTTGGTGGCAATGCCAAGAGTGCCATTCTCCCCACTGAAAATAAAAGCCTACTGTAATAAGAGGTGGGGAAAATAAAAGCAGATGCAACATGACTGAACAGCTTTACTTGGTGCATGGAGAAGAGAGTCTCCTGCAATTGGCATAGAAACTGACAAAACCAAAGTCAATACATTACTGAAGTCTCATAGATGGGTCTAGTTTTGTGGGTGTTACTCATATCATCAACCTCCAAAAAGCCCAACAGCACAATTCACTTAAGTAGAAGCTTCAGAACTAGGCCCCAGTTTAGCACTTACTTCTGGGTCTGTGTTCACCAAACACTTCCTGAGTATCTCCTAAAGACATGCTTAAGTCTCAGGTGAAAACTATAACCTCAAATTATCATTGTCATTTATGGAGTAAGGATGGATCAGGCCTATTGGAAGGCATTGATGCATCTGTCATTTAGAGGATCATTTTTCAGCAAGAAAGAGTATCTCCTAATCCATATTCTCAGTTGTATACTGTGCCTTTTCATTTCCATGGTACAAACCACTGTGCATCATACTTACATGCATATGGCTCATGGTGCATTATTATATTCAGCTTATCAGTTTATGTAAATGTTCGCCTCCCTCGTGCCTTTCATTGGAAATTTGGGGATGCTTAGCTTGTTTCACCCCCTAAGATTGTACTACTGTTGTAGTTTGCCATTGGCATAAAATTGAAATCTCTTAAACAAATAATGATTTACATAGCCACCTTTACAAAAAAGATTTTTATGAAGGAGAAGTTCTATGGCTTCCACAGAATAGAAAATGCCAGAATCTAAAAGCCAGAGCTAGCACAACACACCTGCTGCCCCAACGCTGTATTTCTACAGATAAGGGTGAGCATTAACTGCTCTCCTGGAAACTGAAGGGAGCACCACAGCAGGAAAGTCAATGCTCATCATGCACACCTCAAGCTCTGCTCTCTGGCATAGCTGGCGGCTGTGGTTCGGAGAAGGACCATAAACATGACATGTGAAAACAAGCCACAACACGGCACCTTTCAAATACGCAGCCTCCAGCTCTCTCTCTCTCACCTTATTGTAGAGAGAGGTGGCTGTGAGCTGAACTCAGCCCTCCATCTGGTACATTTTCCTTCTTCAGGCTGCCAGCAGGCTTCAGACCATCTTCCCTGCCTTCAGACATGCAAAAATAGGCCATTCTCTGACCTTAATGAGGACAAACTTCACATAATCCCCAGTGAATAATATTGTTAGTATGAAACAGGCTATTATTTGGCACATTTGGGAACGTCACTTTTTTTTTTTTTTATTATCAGGTAACCAATAGGCTTTGTATGATTGCCTTTCCCCCCCTCAGGGCTGGTTATGAGTTCTTTGCTTCCCAAAGATAAATCCTGACAATGGCTTTTCCCTGCTCTCTGGAGGCTGAGAGCAGGCTATTACAGCCTATTGCTTTACACGTTCTTCAGAGTGAAAGCTGTGCATTAGGGATCAATAAAATAGATCACTCTTGCTTCAGGCCATTACACTTGCCTGCATTTATTCCTATAATAAGATGACACTGCATTCCTTAGTGTGGGTGTTTAAGAAACTTTCCCTGGGAGGAGATTACCCCATTACAGGGCCAGCTACAGGCCACTCTGCATTTTTTCTTATCAGCTGGTCTAAGTGGCAAGACCTTGGCCAAGAGGGATTGACCAGTGGCCCTGTTCAGCTTTGCCATGTTTAAGTCCCTATTTTTGCTGTATGTACCCTGAGGAAGCAAAGCCTGTGCAGATGTCATGGGCAACAAAACAGTTTTCTGTCAAGGAATTTCAATCAATTTAATTTATCACCAGTTAACACTAACTTTTACCTTTTGATTCCTGAGTTAGGGGAACAAAAGAAATTAGAGAAAGACACCTCTGTACCCCCTTTCTGGGTTCCAGCCCCTGTGCCACACATTACAGCCAGTCCCTTTAGGAGCAGGAGGTTGGGTACAGCACATCGTGGTCCCTACCCTGTTGCTCCGCTGTGGCCTCCTCCACCAGCCACAGTCCCTTTGGAGTTGTACCTCCTGCCCAGGCTCCTTTCCATCCCCTCCAGATGGCTCTTTGCTCCAGCCCTATTGTGCAAGAGAGTACCTTCTTCACTGCGCAGTGTTTTCATGGAGCTGAGGCAGGGTGAGATGTGCCCCGCAGTGCTCCACACTGTTGTGATGCCCCACACTCCCAAAAGAAATTTATCCCTGGTGACAAACAGCTGCAGCAGGATCACAGGTATCAGGCTCAGCCCTGACACTACGAGAAGCTTCTCTGCCTGTCATCTGAGAGAGATTTTTCATAATTCAGATGATATATCTTACCATTGCTGTCAATTTGCCTCCTTTAGTGAATTCCTTGGGACAGAAATTGGCTCTGATTACGTTTGCATCCTGCCTACCTTGAGCTGTAACATCTACTATAATGAAAATAGCACACCAAATATGGTGATAACTTTCTTCCATTACTCATATTCCCTGTGTGAGTAGACACATCAAGTGTGGGTGTATAAAAAATTGGTTTTATTTTATTTATGTTGCATCAACTTTTTTATGTATTGTATGCCATTGAGACTATTAAGACAATTCCTGCTTTAGATTCTAGAAGGGAGACAAAATAAGGTGGCAAACCGAGAATTTAAGCTTTGAAGGATTGTTCCATGTTATTTTTTTTCTCCACAATAGTAGTAACTTCAATCTCATGTGCCTATCAAAAGGAACTGGACTTTAGGAAGAATATGGGTGAGCAATGTAGTGAGACTTCATCATCCATCCCTTCTTCACACACAACACACTTTTCCCATTATTAATATTGTTGGCTTTCTGAAACACGGCTCAGTCTGCTGTCTGGGTTCTCAGAGCCACAGTATTTTTCCCTTCTGCATTTCATCTTACTCCTTTATACTGTTGAGGTTATAAAAAAAAATAAATAAAAAAAGTCAGTCCCTAAGACCTAAGCTGCTGACCTTAATCTCATTTGTGCCTTTTTCTATTGTTGGTGTCTTTACTGGCTTTCTTAATCTTCTGTTCTTCTATTTCCACCTCCATTCTCATCTCATCCCCTTTCCGATTCCCCCTTTTATTCTGTGAGGTCCTAATTGGCTTTGTGTCCTTTTTTTTTTTTTTCTTCTTTCCTCCAGTCTCTCCCCTCAGTCTCATTCTTTGTGCCCTTCTTTTCTCTTTTCCCTTTATCTCTTCCTGTTCTAAAATTTCTCCACTGTGCTCCCCCACTTTTGGGTGCCTTTCCCTGGTGCTTTTCTCCTTCACCGTTTGGGGTCCACTTAGGCTTAACCCTCTCCTTCTCCCTTTTCATCTTTCACACATCCCATGGTCTCCCTTATTTCTTCCACTTCTTCCCTGTGCCTATTTTTCCCAAATCCCAACAGGCTGGTGCCCAGCAGTGGTGTTGGGCTCTGTTCCTCCAGCATTGGAGATGTTGCTGGCAGCCAAGCAGAGAAGATGGGGTAGGTCCTAAATGCCGCAGGGAGCAAATCCCACTGCGTGGGAGCTGAAATTTGGGCACACAGCCACATATATGCTCAGTTTAAAGGAAGCCTTGGCCACTGAAATGGGTTGGAGTTGTGCCAGCGGGGGACAGCAGTATCTCATTACCAATTCTCTGAGCCAGTCCCCCTGGCAGCGTAGCTGGAGCATTGATAGCTTTTTAGGGATTTCACATTAACTAGGGCTGTATCAGGCCATTTTGTGCTTCACTGAATTTGTACATCAATCTCCCTCACTTTTTTAAGGCTTACATCTCATGAAGCAAAGTGAAATCATTAACACATGACAGTTTTCAGGCCTCTTTGTTGTCTCCTGGCTCACGATTGCCTTCTGACAAAGGGCCAGGGTCCTGCGTTGTTTATATGTTTTTAAAAACTTTGCTGCATACAATAATAATAGCGATCCTTTCATAAAGATGGTAATCACAGATGCCAATTTTGACTGATTACACAAATAAGGAAACTAAGGCAAAGTAGTTACAAAATTTATCAAAGCTTGTCAACTTGTTTGAAATGAAAAAATAATTTCAAAGCTTCAGTCCCCAGCGCTGTGGGGTCTGACCTTTGACTGATCTGTGTAACTTTACAAAACTTGTATTTAACTTGATTGTGTTCTCCTCTGTGACTCACATCAACAGTGCTATCTTATGCTTATTTCACAACAAATACATCAAACAGATAAAACAACTTTACTTAAGGCTTAGTCAAGCCTCAGAAGACCTGGATGCAGTGTTCTTTCTAACTAGAACATCTGCAGAAGGTGTAAATACTATTAAGACATCAAAGGCCACTTATTGAAGTAAGATTTTAAAAGTATAGATTTTGGTTCAGTTCAGGCATCCAAAGCTGCATCTCTAATAACAATAATAAACAAAACAGCAGAGCTTTTTTGGTCCTGAAGCCAACTGGCCAAGCACAACCCACAACCCTCTTCAGCCCAATTCTCTTGCTTCCAGCACAGAGCAGCCACATCCAGACTGGGCAATGTCTGGAGAGGACAGTTTACACCACAGCCAAACCTGTGGCCAGGCTGTGCTTGCAATTTAACTCTATAAACAACTGTAGGACAAAACTGAGCCTTACCCACACTGATTAACCAGCACAGACAGTGCATGCAGTCGATACTATGGCCCTCAGGCAACTTGGTAAAGGTAAAGCCCATGTTCGTGCTAGATAATGTTAGTGGCATCAATATTGTTAAGTGAGTTTTGTGATACTACAATGCATAACTACCAGAAAAACTCAAAGTTCTTAAACTATGCAAGTTTTTTTTCATTAATGATAAACAGGTGGTTTTCATGGGGGGTTTTGTCCTTAGTTAACAGGTATTTCCCCATGATCACAGGTGTTACACTCCAAAAAAATACCCTAGCCTCCGAAACAAGAATTACTGTTATTAACTAAACAGAGCTAGGATTTCACAGCATAATGGGTGCTGTTGCTTTAAAATGCTAATTCTTCCCAGTTGTTGATTTCCTATCTACAGTACTTTAACACATCTTTTTGCTACTAAAAGATCAGCAACTGATTATGCCAACTATTCTGGGCAATAGTTTGGGGGTATACTTTGTAAAAATGTTGCTTTTGTCAACAGAAACTATAGAAATGCCAAAGATCTAATTAATTTTTATTTCTTCTGAAAGGCACTTGAGCATTTAAAAACCAAGGGAAGACAAGCTGAAGACTAGAAAATATGAAATACTTCCCATTAGTACATCACAAAATGGCAATGAAAACCTTTCCAGATATAAAGTAGGGCCTGATTTTATAGTCTTTGGTTATGTGCACCACCCATGAGTATAAACACAGAGGAAGCAACCAGGCAGCAGATCAGAGCACCAAGCACTACTGATCAGGAGCAAGTCCGGGAAACATTGGCATGCATTCTCTGAACTTTGTTCATTTTAACAGACTTAAAGTTCATCTCATGAACCTTAAAACTCCATCTTAAGGTGGCTAAAAATTGGACAAATAAGAGGACAACTTAAAGGCACCTTCTTTGTCTCTGTTAGAAACAATCAGTGGTGCAAATAAGCCTGTTAGAAAGGAAGGATTAGTATTTGAATGATAGAGTAGATATCCACATTACCTTTGAGGCCTGGAACAAGAATTTGAACAGAGCAGGACTCCTCTGCAATATGTTGAGTATATCCAGACCTTAGCAGTGACAGGAAGACAAGGCTAATTAGAGTCACCAAGAAAACCAGATCTCTCTTCATAATGAGCACTTGCAGGTCACTGACTCCTAAACAAAAGAATGAATAAACAGTTATAAGAATTCCAAAGACTTTCAACAGTTTCTGAACATATGCAGTATCCTACTACAAATACAATATGTTTTGGTGTGCTGTAACCCACACAGCATGAGAAGGACATGTGCAGGTCCTCCAAGCAGGTTGTATGTTCCACAGACACACACAAAACATGCAGCAGCACATTCAGCAGTTCTTTTTGGTGTTAGACCAGGTGAAATAAAGCTCGGGAGAAATTTATTTAAGAAGTAGGAGAACAAGCAATGTTAATAATAGGCAATTCTGTGTTCATGATTTCTTATTAGAGCAAGGGATCTGGAAAGGTGAAAGGAGAAAATGTAGTACATGGGTTTGCACTGAAAGATGTTAGTACTAAGTTGCCACTTAGAAAGAGTGCGGACTGCTCTAAAGAGGCAATTCAGTGGACAATGAGACGAACCTAAAGGCCTGAAATTTCACTTCCCATCTATCTGAGCACCGAAATTGTGCCCAGCAAATTGTCTGATACAATAGCCCTCTTGTAACTCATTGAGGGCGGAAGGGAGATAGTATTTCACTATATCATGCAATGAAGTTACATCAGAGCCTTCAATAAATCCTGAAAAGATTCACCTCTGAAACTACCCTTGTCTAAGCCTGCAAGTGAAATGGCTTGCCTGATATTAGGCTATGAAGAGATCTCTCAAAAAGCAACAGTACAGAAATGGAGTTTGTGCAAAAGGACCATCAAAAGACGGCATTTGGGGGGTCTGTAGAAATACCCTTTGACAAAATTGTTACTAATGCACCTCTGATATGTTTTTCCAGGCCTTCTTTCACCAAGGCTCTGTACTACATAAACAAGCTGAAAGTTATAGCAGGGTTTCAAGAGAAAGTACCTGTATATCATCTTTTATAGCCACAATACAGACATATGCATTTTACACCTAGAGCAAGAAGACTGGGGTATATTACTTTCCCCTCCCTGATTCTCTTCAAGAATAAGCCAAGAAGTATCAGGCACAGGTGGGTCCAGCACAGGGGCCTGCATGTCTCAACATGCTGGGGGGGTCTAGGAGGGTGGGTCTGTTATTTTGGGGATGGCCTGAAGGCATAACTGCCCTTCAGCAGCCGCAGGGTAATAAGGATCTTCAGGGTGAGAAAGAGCTGGTGAAGCAGATACCAAAACTTAAGGGATGGAGCAAGAGGAAGGCAGACTGACCTCCCCACATGCAGCAAAATTCTGTTTTGTCTTTGCCGTTAAAAAGCCTTTCTCTAATTTTAAATTCCACCATCAACTCTGACACATTTAATAGATGTCTGAGAAGCAAGACTAAGTAGATGACTTTGGAGTTGAGGGAATAAATTATCCTTCTGAATTGCTGTCAGATTTGTGCTCCTATTATCTTCTAGGAGATAAAATGCATAGACTGCATCAGAGGGGTCAGATGAGAGCAGATTTTGTCTCCCTCCTCATATGGGGTGGGCAAGGCATGAGTTACAGGAGAGGTTGCTCTGCCACACAACATTCTTACTACATTATCTGATGCTACATCACACTGCAGGGCAGGGGTGCTCCACATCACTCCCCTCAGTTCTCACTGATCATCCAGATTTGGGGCACAGAACAGTGTATCCCCTTTTGACCCAAATTTCTTCCCTATCTTTCCTTCCAAAGGAAGGGGCAGAGCAAACAGAGGAGGTGGGTTTGCCTCAGCCTGCAGCTCCCACCCCACAACCCAGGGGAGCACCTGGCCACCAGCCTGCAGGACATCCCACCTTTTCTTTGTAGCTGGGGCACTTCAGGATCCAAAAGAAGATCAGACAAATAAGCTTTCAAGCCAAGTAGTTTAGATACACAGTTGAAAGCCCAGAAATGAGGTGGTTTCAGCACGAGCACCCAGCAGGCTGGTGATAAGGATTCTCCACAGACAAGTCAGAGAGGGGAATGAAATGGCCTCAGACGGAAGAAGGAATTGAAATTAGGTGGGTGCTCCAGTCTCTGTGCTAGTGAATAATAAGGCAGCATCACCTCCTCTGGTTGCATTTTATGAGGTTTTAGATGTATCCAGACTACAACTAAAAGATAAAAGCCTCCAGGTATGTTAAATATTTATCTGCCTTTGCAAACTCCTACACAGCTCAGAGATGAGACAGGCATCAAGCAGCAGAGAACTGTCAGGGCTGCTCAGCAGCCAGACATGAATGATTTTCTAGGGAAAACAAAGCCTCCAATGAAGCTCCATCACATTCCCCACTGCCTGCTGCAGGGTTTACAAGCCACAGAGACACAGGGGATACACCTCATCCTACCTCATGATAGCTTGACTCACACAGAAAATGGACTCAGTCTAAAAAATGGAGCTTCTTAGTGTCTGTCAGGTCACAACACCTGGACCCACACGAATACCTGGAAAATTACCTTGGTCTAAAAAGACCCACTAACAGAGGAATCTCTGAATAGGTTGCAGATTAAACACTCTATCAAGTCTGCAGCTGCAGTAAAGGGAGACATTAGTAATAGAAATCAAACCAAAAGCACTTTGGATATCACTTTCTCCACCTTTTTCTGCTTTAAAAAGAAACCTTGTCTTCTGCAGCTAAAATTGCTTTATATGATTGAAATAAGAGTTTGATCTTTAGGTATGTGCCACGGCAGTACCTTTCATTCTAAAATCCTGGAAAATTCCTTGCCTTTCTGACTTACCTTCAAGTCCTTTCAGATCCAGATTCATAAAGGCATTTAGGAAACTGAATCTCACTGAAACTGGTCCTTGGAAAAAGGTGTCAGCCTATTTTCTCAACCTCTATCTTAGCCCTGGTATCTTCAACATTAGTAAAACCAATACCAGAGAGAAAGCTAGAGATGTTCACACTTGTGAAAATAAGACTATTTTCTCACTGTCTAAGCAGGGGTCAGGAGTCAAATTTGCAGCACTTACAATGGCAGCCATTAAATCAGCATAAGCTGAAAGTTTTGGGGAAAAAAAGTGAGATGAGGAGGAGGAAAATGCAATATTTTCATGGTCTTTTCTTTAAAAAAAAAAAAAAAAATAGCACAACACCTGTCTTCCCATTAGGAATGGAATCGTACCAATGCAACCAACACAATAATTTCAGAACAACTTTTGAGATCTGTCAGCTTTAGGGAATCTGCCTCAGTTGCCAAGAGAGAAGAAGTTTATTAAGCCGGGCTTCAAGTGACAAGTTCTTGAGACGTCATCAGAGAATGGCTCACTCAAAACCGCCACAGGACCGGCCAGGCTAGCTGGCACCCAGCACTCCTTGAGCTCCCCCGCTTCCCCCCAGCTGTGGATGGAAAGCTTGGAGATCACTTCAGCCAGCAAATGCCTCCTGCATGAAGACCCCGTATCTGCCAGTGGCTCCTCCACAAGGGCCGGTGGTTTATTGCATGCTGTCATTTTGGACCTAGAATCAACACCACAGATGATCTACCCAGTTAAATCCAAATGGCTGAGAAATGCAGAAGGGAAATGGTGCTCACTGGCAAACAGCTACAGAGTGTCTGCAATCCTCTGCCTAATCCCATAGGACTCCTCTTTGGGCTATTTTTATTTCACTATTACTAGTTGTTTTCACTCTTATTATGATGTTTTTATTATTTTTAAAACTATACTTCATTCTCTGAGCTAAACGATCTAGACTGTGAATTGAGCATGCCCCCAGCACAGAGAGACACACCAGTCTGCAGAGCCACAGCCATGTTTGGTGGGTGATTTTCCCAAGCAGGTTTGAGTCAGCGCTACAGACACATCAACAGCTTTCAACAGTTTTCACTCCCCTGACTTTTCAAGTCCTCGTCATCCACATCCCAACACCTCCTAGAACTATCTGGCAGCCTGTGTATCCTCAAATGCCCCGTCTGGCCCTAAGCTGCATCCTTACCGATGCAACACATGCCCACAAAGTGATGCCAGTGAAATGCCAGGCTGTCAGGCTGGGACACAGACCTCATGCTATTTCAGACAGTTTGAACAGATAAAACCCAAAACAAAACAAAAAAAAGGTAATTAAGTTCCAGGGCTACAAGGGTAACACTAGAGCGCAGTGCAGATCTAGGATATGTTTCTGGGGGAAGTGAGGAGAGGCAGAAGAGACAAACCTCTAGCCCTATGCGTCCAAGCTGCTTTTCACCCCTTGGCTCAAGCGCTGTGGATCATTCCCTGGAGAAGATGTCTTTCATACTGGAGATGAAACCCGTGTCATTGACCTCTTCTTTCTCCATCACAGCCTTGCTGATCATCCTAACCTACAGATGTTCTGTGTAGCTATGCTTTATCTAAGCGTTTTCTCATTTGTCCTCCCAGCTCCTTCATGCATTACCTTGGGTAATCGAGAGTTCACCATTTAGCCAGAATATAAAAATCAGAATCCATTATAAAGCTGCTGAACAATGGGTGATCATTTTTGTAACATTGCGATGCTCTGAAGTTAAATTCTATGTGTTGATTTAAAGGTTAAAGCAACGGGCTAGAAAGATTTTTAAAAAAAATCCCTAAATGTTAATATCATAGAAATTAAAAAATGAGGACCATAACTGCCACGGCTACAAAGTCTCTGTGAAATCTATGGAGCATGAAGTAGCATAAAGCAGAGAAATAACACATTTCAGGTCCTGATGATGCTTTGCTGAAGAACAGCAAAGTTTGCTGCAGAGGACACAAGAATGACTCTAAGCTGATGGTAAGCTAACATTACCTAAAAGCCTAACTGATAGGAAGTCATTGGTTACTCCCCAAAGTATACTCAATTCTGGCTCAATAGAGCTATTTCCTCAGCACATGTTTGTGAGGTGTAAGGAACTATTAGTTCTGACTGTACAATGTAGGTGCCCTTGTCACACATAGGAGTAAATACCCTCACTTTTCATTGAGAAGAATGTTTTTAAAAATTGAGACAAATTTCTTCCTGATGTAGTTTTGCTGAAATCAATGAGTTTGTCAGAATTAACTGTGCTGGAAATATAAAATCAAAGCTTCAGCAAGGGTGCGAT